GCAGACTTTCCCATCGCAAAACCGTTTTTTGATTTCCTGGCTGCTGGTGCCAAGAGTGTTGACCGTGGAGCTGAGCAAACTGAAACGAAATGAAAAATTACAGTCTCATAATCATTGCCATCTTTGAACCCACTGCTGTAGTCACTGTGGCAGTTCAACAGTATGAGAGTCATCTTCTTTGGTGCTGATTCTCTATATTACCAAGTATGATAGCCTTTTCCAGAGACTAGTCACTCATGCAAAAATTCCCAAATTACATGAGACAAAGTATCAACATCCTTCCTTCTTTGGAACATTCTGGCCGTATTTCTTTCAGGAAAACTTTGTTTGATCTTTTGTCAATCTATGGTATACTCAATATTCTATAGCAACAGCATAACTCAAATGCATCAATTCTTCTGTCTTATTCATTGATCAGCTTTCACCTACACTTTAAATGATTGAAAATATCCTGACTTCAGTAAGGCATACCTTAATTCTCAAAGTGGCATCTTGGCTTTATAATACTCTATGAGGCCTTTTGTAAGTTTGCCCAATACAAAGTGTTTTTTCATTGCCGCTTTCATAAGTGTGGATTATGAAATCAAGCAAAATGAAATCCTTGTCAGCTTCAATATTTTAATGATTTATTTATTGGCACAGTTATATTTTTAAATCTTGCCTTTATGTTGAAATAGAACCTGTTGTTGCTTTTATATGCCATCGAGTCACTTGTGACTCATAATAACTATATGTGCAACAGCCCTAAACCCTGCTCTATCACTTGCCAATCTTACTATCTCCAACACATTTGTCCCCATTACCCCAGTTAATGAATCAATCCATCTCATCAAGGGTCTTTTCCTGTGCTGTCCCTCCACCTTCTCAAGCATGTCATACTCTCCAAGGACTGATCCCACCTTGCAATATGTCCAAAGTATGTCAGACAGAGCTTCAGAATCCTTGCCTCCAAGGAGCAGCCTGACTTCACCCTCTCCAGGACTAACTTGTTTGCTTTCCTAGCAGTCCATGGTATATTCAATACTCTTCTTCAGCACCAAGGCTCAAAGGCATCAACTCTCCTTCTATTGACCGGCTCTCTAATGCATAGCAAGCAATTGCAAAGACCATGACCTATATCAGGCACACCTTAGTCTCCATCATTGCTCCTCAGGACTTTGGAAAGGTCTCTAGCAGGTGACTTTCTCAATGCAATTTATCTTTTCATTTCCTGGCTGCTGGTACCAAGTGTATTGATTGTAGAGCCAAGCACACTGAAACTGTCAGCAATTTCAATCTCTTCCCCATCTATCATGATGCTGCCAATCAGTCCAGTGGTAAGAATCTTTGTTTTCTTGATGTTGAGCTTCAATCCATATTGAAGACTGCAGTCCATGGCCCTCCATAGCAAGTGTTTCAGGTCCTACTCAGTTTTAGCAAGCAAGGTTGTGCCATCTGCATAACGCATTATTGATGAGTCTACCCCCAATCCTTATGCCTCATTTCTCCTCATAGAGCCCAGCCTCCCACATAACCTTTTCTGTATACAGATTGAAAAGACATAGAGATAGGACACATCCTTGATGCACACACTTCCCAATTTTGAACCATGCAGTGTTTCCTTGCTCTATTCTGATGACTGTCTCTGGTCCAAGTATAAGTTTCACATAAGGGCAATCAAGTGTTCTGGGATTTCCATTCTTCTCAGAGTCAGCCACAGCTTGTTGTGATACACACAGTCAGATGCCTTAGCATAGTCAATGAAACACTAATAGACATTCCTCTGGTACTCTCTGCTTTCAGCCAAGATCTATCTGACAGCAGCTATAACATCCCAAGTGTCATAACCTCTTCTGAATCCAGCCTGCACGTCAGGGAGTTCTCTGTTGATGTGCTTTTCCAGTGATTTTTGGATAATCTTGAGCATAATCTTTCATATTCTACCCAAAGCATCCTTAAGTATTGCAACTCAAGGTTTGAATTTGTTCTTCAGTTCCTTCAGCTTAAGAAATGCTGAGTGAGTTCAGCCCTTTTGATTTTCTAACTCCAGCTCCTTTCACATTTCATTGTAATACTTTACATTGTCTTCCCACACTGCCCTCTGGAATCTTCTGTTCAACTCCTTAATATCTTGATTTCTTCCCTTTGCTTTGGCTTCTCAGTGCTCCAGTGCAATATTTAGAATTTCTTCTGACATCCATCTTGGTCTTTTCTTCCTCCTCTGCCTTTATAATGACCTTTTGCAATCTATATTTAAAATAAACTTTGTTTTCTTTTCTGTTGTTGCTGTTGTTGTGTACTTGCAAGTCTAATTTGACTCATAACTGGCCCACCAGCAGGTTTTCAGAGGCAGAAACTCCTATCTTTCTGCCTTTGTGTTTGCTGGCAGTGAAATGCCTTACCACTAAGCCACCGGAGTTTCTTTTGTTTCTCTGTTGTTGTTGTTGTTATGTGCCATCCAGTCGTTTGCGACTCATAGTGACCCTATGCACAACAGCCCTAAACCCTGCTCTATCCTGCGCCAACCACATTGCCTCTGACACACCCATCCCGATTACCCCAGTCACCGAATCAATCCATCTCTAGGTTATCTTAATTTCTACTTTCACAGATACAATTTTCCCAAGTGCCCAGAACCTTATTTTGTGCTGCTCTAATTATCTTGCCATTATTCTGATTTGTTTCTCTTAACTCATACACCTAATTCATACATCTTGATGAATTCACTTCATAGAACTTAGAACCATCCTATAAACTTGTTGTGAACTGGAATTGGTTTGACAACTGTTATGGGGTTTTTTTGGTTGTTATTTTAATAGCTTGACTCTGTTTCTCTTCATTTCCTCTTACTTAACACCCTGTGTCACTTAGGAATGGTGTTAAGAAATGAAGCAGAAGTTCAGGGAAAGAGGCATAAATCATCTGTAACTCTTTTCTCTTTACAACCCACCATTCTTACCCAGATTAATAACCTAGCTTTACAGGCTAATTTACCTTTGCACTTAAGGTTTTGAGTGGCTTCATTGCCTCTCAGTCAGTTAAAATTCATCAGCAGCACTGCAGAAGAAAGTTGGGCAAACTATACCCGTTCAATCTATAACCTCAGGAATTCAATGGGGGGAAGGATCAGTTACGAGTTGGTTTGGACACAACAATAATGAGTTTTGAGTTGATCTACTTTGGCTTGATTTACTTAGAGTTAAAAATAGTCATTGGAGCATTTATTTGCATTGAGAAGATTCTTAGCATTAATTAGTAGCCAAGATTTGTTCTCCTCCAAGCATAAATTCTACTTCTTAAATTTAAAATAAAGTAGAATACCAATCCTATATGATAGTTCTATTTTCTTTTTTTATGACATTTTATTTCCATGTTGTGTGAACAAGGAGCTGACTCCTTACTAAGTGTGGTAGGGGGTGCGGGGTGGGGAGGGGAGTAAAGGAAGAAGAAGCATAATTAAGAGCATAATGAGCATTTTATGCGTGTACCTAGATATATACTTTAGACCAATTCTAAATCCTTTCAGCAGAAATGTTCACTAGATAATATGTAGGGCTTCAGAAAGAAATACTCTAAAATAGCTGTGTTTGCTGTTGGGACTGCAAAGTTTCCTTAAAATTAGTGATATTGATAATGGGCAACAGACTTGATGCTTGAAGCATCCTGACAGTTGGGTTTCAGAAAGTTCTCAACGAGGTCCTGTGTTCTACTGGGAACCCAGTTAAGTGGCTTAGCTGAATATTTAGACAGCGATTTTTGTCTCTGTGCTGGCTGGCTGTTATGTTGATGCAGCCATCGGGGAATTTCCAGAAAAAGAAAACAGCTTGTGGCATTTGAGCAGAGTTATTAATTGGTACCATTTAGAGTGGGATGACCAGGAGCAAGATTCCAGGACTGCGTTCCTTAACACCTTCCCCAGATGTTCTACTACCCTTCCCAAGCAGCAGTGGAGTTTGGAGAGAAAGGGGGAAGGTTCACTTCAGTGAGAGTGAAAAGTCCAGAGATCTTTTTACTAATAATCTTCCCCTTTCACATTCCCCTTCACCATCTCTTTCTCTTCTTTTTGTTCTTCTCTCTTGGCTTCCTCTTTCTTCTTTTTCTCTGTCTTTCACACTTTAAGAAAGTAAATCATATAATCCATGATATTCAAAGGAGAGGAATTTAAATTATCACCTATCTAAAGATTTCTTTACTTCCAACTTTGTAGACATATTCTAAACTGACCTCCTTGGTCTCAACCCTAACTGTTTAAACCAGTGATGTTTTACTCCCTATCTAAAGCTCCGGTTGACACAGTTCCTTCAAAGTCTACTAGCAGTAGCACATTCTAACGGGTCTGGTTTGGGGCCTGAAAGTCTCAATAATTATGCAGTTTGACACTTGGTCGAAATAAACCATATTTTCAAGAAAGTGTTTGGGTTATAATCCTTGTGCAGAAAGCAAAACATAATCTGGAGGTGAAGCATGGCAATGTCTCAAAAGGGAAAGCACACGTGCTTGAAAGAATGCTTTAAAACATTGCACAACCAGTGATGTCAGTGCTTCACCTCAGAGTCTCTGTATGTTAAGTGTAACTCTCCTACCAGTTACCTTGCTCTATATCCTCACCTAAGAACCGTGGCCAAATACTCTGTCTTCCTGTCTCTGGATCAAGATATATTTGAATTGAGAGGTGCTCTGTCTATAGAACTTGTTGAGAACTGTGCCCCCAATTGCTCCTCTGTGGGACTTTCTTTGTTTGACATACTTACTTGATTTGTTTTCCATTCAGGTCCTGCTTCCACATCCAGTTTTTGTTTGTTTGTATTTTTTGGTTGCTTTTATTTTGGGAGGGGGGGGTCCCCAGAAACATTCCTTACTAAATTTTGTCCTTGGGTCTGCTGTTGTGAAACCTGACATCAGGCACATTGTCAAACTATCGGGCCCTTGTTGAGATGTATTTACTGCATAAAAGATGAAAGGAGTTTATCTGCTGCATATTTTAACCTTGGAAAATAATCATGTCATCCTCTATTTTTCAGGAAGAGAATATGAAGGAGAAGAAGAATATCTGGAGATCCTTGGCATCACCAGGGAGCAGTCAGGCAAATATGAGTGCAAAGCTGCCAATGAGGTCTCCTCAGCAGATGTCAAACAAGTCAAGGTCACTGTGAACTGTGAGTATGACAGGAGCCAGCAGGTGCTATGTGCCCAGGACCCACCTCTGCCTCCAGTGAGTTTTAAAGATCCCATTAGCAAAATAACATTGCATTTCTGGCAGATGCTCCTCTGGTCAGGGTTGCACATTTATACACTGGACATATCCAAGGACAAGATCTAGCTTTTGAATTTGATAAATCAACTCTAAATAGAACCCATAATACATTTAACAATACACTCTGTCTTTCACGCAAACTACAGAATTAAGAAACGATGATCAGGCAGCACTAGCATTTCTAGCAATCACTATTCTGCACTTTTTGGAGACCAAGGTCATACTACTTTAGACACAGGAGAAATTCATATCTGCTGTAATTAGAATTTCTATCATATCGTATTGTTTGTCAGAAGGGAATAACCCAAGATCATATTTTATCCTCCACCACTTGACTAATTGACCTTGGGAATATATTCAAGTCACTGTGGTCGGTACCACAAGTCCCTGATAGCTAGCAGGGATGCCTGATAAGTTCCTTTTGGTTATCTATTTGTCCCAAAGTATGGGCATTAGAAAGTAAGATTTCACTAAGATGCATAGGTAAGTGGGCATACTTTGAACTTCTCAGATGAAAGGATCCTTAGATGTAGTTCAAAAGTTGGGGGGCGGAGGAGGAAGGATTCATGTGATGTGTGTCACCAAGCAAAAGGAATAAAGAGAATTCATTTACACTGTTCAGTTAAGAGTGGCTTTCTACATCATTCAAATTCAAGTTCTCCTATCAGCTAACTTCGTAAGGAATGTCCCAACAATTCTTCCCTTCTATACATTTAACACCTCACACTACACATACATACATACATACATACATATAAACAGAGATTCACGTACACATATACCCAATAAAGCACACTCACATAAACAGACATGTATACATATATGTATCCAAGTAAAAATACATAATCTACAAATATATTTAGGCGCTTGTGTACAAATACATTTAGGCGCACACAAATGCACAGACATCTTAACGTATGTTAGAAAATAGGCCTGGGCTCTGACGAGTTACTGTCATTATTCCCTGTGTGCAGTGCTGAGGTCTTTCATTCATAGGATTGTTATTAGTCGTCTATGACTCAATTGCACCTAACAACAATAACAGTGAAGACAGAGAAAGAGCTACATTGGTACATTGGCCTAGTGCACAGAAAGTTATGCTACCAAGCCTAAGGTGGGTGATTTTAATCTGCAGCCCTCAAGCCAGGTTCAAATTGTTTTCCTGTCAAACATTCTTCTAGGTGGTATAGCACTGGTCTGTGCATTGCTGTACAGAGGTAACTCATGGTTGCTGTGATGCTGAAGACTGTGACACTGATGTGCCAAATGTGATAATGTTTACCCATGGCGGACAGTGTTTGCAGGAGCTCCCTGATTACAACAAGCCTGGAAGCAGAAACGGCATCCACTTCCGAAATGGCTTGCCTCCGGAAACTCTATGTACGAACAGTGCTCAGGCTTTTCGTTCATAGGGTCGCTGTGAGTCGTCTACGACTTGACGGCACCTAACAACAACAACCTTTTCAGTGATCACAGCTGTTGTTACTGCTGTGTGTTATTAAGTTGATTCTGACTGACAATGACCAACAGAGTGAAACTCTTCTCCATTCTGCATCATCCTTGGAACCACTGCTGTGTTTGAGCCAATTGTTGTAGCCTCTGTGTCAAACCATCTCATTGATATGTTTGTATTTTTCACTGACCCTTTACTTTACCAGAATGACATCCTTCTCCAGGGAATAGCCCTCCTGATTGTATTCCCAGCAGCTAGGAGACAAGTCTCCTCACCCTGCTTCTAGAGAACACACTACACTTCCTCCAAGCCAGAGCTGTGTGGTTTGGGGCACTGCAACGGAGAGTCAATACTCTTTGCCAGCACCACAATTTAAAGACATCAATTCTTCTATAAACTTTTAACTTATTGTCTAACTTTCACATGCATATGAAGCTATTGACAATACCATAGTTTAACTCAGGCAAGCCTTCATCCTCCATATTATATCTTTGCTTTTTATTTTATTTTTTTTATTATTTTGTGTGTGTGTGTGTGTGTGTGTACCATCAAATTGGATCCGACTGGTACAGAAGGCACTTGCCCCTCCTTCTCCAACAGAGTATCTGGTGGATTCAAATTGGTGCCTCCAGGATTACAGTTATATTTGTTCTTTAGTACTTCAAACATGTCCTTAGCAGCAGATTTGCCTCCAGCTTCTGTGAGTGTTGATTATCGATCCAAGTAAAATGAAATCTGTTTGACCACCTCAGTCTTCTCTTTTTCATTATGTGGCTTGCTGGTTGTGAGTTGCGGTTCTGAGGATTTTTATTTGTCTTGAGGTGCAATTCACACTGACGCCTAGAGTCTTTGTTTTTCATCATTAAATTCTTCATTCGTTGTTTTCAGCTAGTAAAGTTGTGTCATCTGCTCATTATAGGTTGTTAATGAGTCTGACAGGTAGAAATAACTGACATCATTTTAGAGCTTGAGACACCAAAGTCAGTGGGGTAAAGTTGTCTTTCCAAAGTGGCATGTGTATGAAAGCAAGCGTATTGAAAGAGATTCAGACACAGGCCATTGTGTGTGTTCTGTATGAGTCAGAACCAAACCATAGCTGACTTTCTGGTAGATTTTCAGAGCCAATTAATCACATGGGTGGAGATTGCCCATCCTTCTCCCACAGAGCAGCTGGTGGCCTCGAACTGTGTGCCTTTGGGACCACAGCACAATTTCTTGCTCCTGGGCCACCAGAACTTCCAACCATAGACAGATCTATTGAATTCAAAAGTTCATGTTTCCAAGAGGAGGATAGCTGTTCATTATTTCACCCTAGTAGAAAGTGCATAAGATAAGCATCATTACTCCTACTTACCAATGTGGAAGCTGAAGTTTAGGGAGCCAAGACTTGGAGTCAGGCATCCCAACTCTGTGCTGAACTGCACTGCTTGTTTAGACTGTTAAAACCTCCAGAAAGAAAGAACAAGATATCCAAAGCTAAAAGACTCCAATAGATACAACTCTATTGTAGACATTTATGGCACTCACTTCCAAGGAACAGGATCTGTATTTGATGAAGGGCTTTTATTCCTTAGCCATCTACACATTTTCTAATAATAAGAGTTTTGAAATGTCAGTGTTACTATTCTTTTCCAATACTGGGTGTGTTTCAAAGACACATTAATGATCTCAATGTTATAAAATGCTTTAGGACCTTTTTTTTCACATGAAAGGCATTTTCTCTGGGTGTTTATCTAAGTTTATAATTAGGTTAGTTAGCTTCTTTTATGTACACACTGCCACACAATCATCTTCCACCTCTTCCCTGACTTTTACAGTCAAAATTTCATTTTCTCTTAATTGACCTTCATCTTAATTAGATTTCTGAAAGTCCAATCATGGAATACATAGAAAATATTTATGCTTCCATTGTGTGAAACATCAAAGTGGTCTGGCTTGCTGATGGCTCCCAAGATCAAAGCTAGCCGCCTGGGTCCTATTATTATTAGCACAATTAGTCTGACATTGTTCCTTCTTGAGTGTCCCTAAAGTGTAACTTAGAACAGTAGAAAATACTGATAATTTTTTTAAGAAAAGACTTTTATGAAAATGAGAGCTTTTGGTAGTGATGAGCATACCACAGGAGAATATTGACAGAAGTTCAGGATTCTAAAAAAATACCTTGTACAAATTATATGGAAATCTGCAATGAGTATAATCAAATTTCAAGTATGTCTTAACCAGTAGTGCTAAGTGCCTATTTTCTGAGTGAACAGACAAGTAATAGAGGTAAACTCTACCCTCATGACTTCCGTCCAAAACATCGTGAATGATATTGATCACAAAACAAGTATATTGACTTTTGATTTCCTCGGGAATCATCTTTCCACTAATACTCCTTAAATTGTGCTTGTATTATATTAAAACAACTTGCAAGGAGGTCTAAAAAAATCATCAGATATCATTCCTATTGTTCTATTCAAACATTTTTTTCCTACACAAATATGGTCCTATCAGATAAATGAAACCATCAAGGCTGAGTTAAAGAATCAAAGAGTCATGTTTGACTAACAAATCTCTTGCAATCTCAGAAACATCCAGGATCAACTTTTTTTCCCTTTGTGCAAGCATACCATCAATAAAAATATCTCACACTATAAATTTATTTCTGTTTTACTTTAAAGAGAGGTTTTGGATTGAAGCATTAGAATGGTGTAGTCTATAGAGTTGCTAATCCTGAGACCACACTTCTCTGAGATTGGGAATACACACACAGCTCTGTTGGAGGAAGAGGAGTTGGTGCTGACTTGATAGCAATGAGATGCAATGGATTTTATAATTAGGTCAGTAGGCTTGGCTAGCTAAATCATAGCTACAGGGTTGATTGTAATCAAGCAAGGCCTGAGTAGAAGTGCTGGTAACTTGCTCCAGCCATCACTTTATTTACAGGGCATTGAAGTTTGTTTGTGGAGTTGGTTGAGGCTAGAACCATAAACATGAGAGTTATACACATATCACCTATTTAGTTCAAAAACCTGAGTCATTTCTCTCTACTTGTCTCTGATAATCCTCCCCTAGGTTAAATCTGCAGCCTTGCACACAGCCATTTTACATGCAAAATATACTTTCTAAATGGTAGGAGGTCTTGCCGTTTACCAAGGGCTAAATTATTGATTTGAAGGCTCTTCAATTAGATAAACTTAAGAACATTTTACACACTAGACAGGGCTTCTGGTTGCCAGTCTGTTACCCACAGGGTAGCTAATTTCTTCCAGATGCCAGCCCTAGGGACAGCCTGTCCTTTCATTTATGAGTTCCAAGTGTAATTCTTCAATTTCAGCTGACAGTCTCGCTGTCCACCTCTGTCATGGTGCTCTCACAGCGCATTAAAAATATCTACTTATGCACTTGTCTCAACCTAGTGTCCAGTATCCCTCGGGTAATAAGGAGCACATGGTGAATTTCAGTAA